GGCTATATCACATATATATAACGACATATATAACTCATAAGGACTTATTAACATTATCATACCTTTTACTTTAATTCTTGTCCGTTGGCCGGACCAAGATCCAAGCAAGCGATGGACCGATTTCCGTAACTGCTCAACACACTATATAGTCTATACTGACTACGTATACGCTATCGCCACAAATCAGTAAATGTGCTCCATTGACCATATGATTCGTTAAGGTTTATGAATTATGGGCGTGTCATATCCACGTAATTGCCCTTACGTCGTTTGGTCACGATACTCAAGCTTGGTTGTTTCGTACTCTCGAAAGCATCGAATTTTCGTTTTCCAAGTTTTATATACTGTTGCTAATAGTTTATGGAAAAACATTCGACAAAAGGTTCTGGCCTGTTTGATGGTCATATAGACAAACATTACACAAATATAAACGTTTAATCATATGAAAAATCACGATAATAATGACTAACAGTAACAATGGGTTTGAATATCAGGTATGCTAATGTTTAAGTGTCAGAGCCTGAGCATCTGATGAGTCATCCGATTTCGAATTTTCAGCCAATTTATATTTCACTAAGTCTCAGTCAAATATGTTTTTAATAAACGAAAATCCGGCAGTTTAATTAAAGGTAGTTGAGTACGAAATGACCTTACACGCACGTTGAAACAGAAAATAATAATGATTTACAGTATGTGTAATTGAAAAGTTTTCCTGAATAAAAATTACTATACTTCTACTCTTACTGCTACCAAAAGAAATTTTCACTGACAAACAGTATTGTAATATGTGGCGTATACAGTACTGCTGTATATAGTGCTAAATAAAAACGGCAACAATTTTGTTATTAATGTCGCAGCATGTTTGGGTTTTTTCTCAAATCTTGTCTGACTCTGTTTTCCAATGCCGTTGCTACGGGCTGCGTTAATGACTGTTTCGGAATTTCCGCCGACATGCATGATACGCTTCACGCAAGAATATAACGCTTTTCAAAACAGCAAAATAACGAGCAAAATGAGTCAATGGTATTTCACTCGTAAATAGAAAATTGTATCCTCTTGCTACAGTGATAGGCTACAAGCTCTATGGACGTTCAGTGAATCAGTATCAGTAATATACTAAAATATTTTAATTAATTTGAGTCAAAATTTGGCGGGACGAAATCCGAATCGAATGCTAGTTATCTACAAGGAAGATATGTGTACTAGTATTTTGACTATCGGTAAAGTGAAACGAATTTTAAGCGGAGAAGCAAAACTCACTGAAGGATCTACAGTTGAAGTCGAGTTCTATGGTTTGAACTATGAAGCACTAGTTGTGAAGCTCCATGGTAAGTGCTGTTGTTGTAGGAGTCGCTAATCTCGAAACTTTTATTCCTTCCCCTTCCAGTTATTTTGTTATTTTGATTACGCTTTCTCCTGAGGAATACAGGTTATATAATAACTCTCTTTCTCGAGCATACGCGGAAAATTTTTGCATTTTAAAACACAAATTTGTCCCGAAATTTGTAAGCAACCGACAACTTTGGAAAATCAAAATGAAAGACGCTTACTGTAGATGCGAAAATTCGGAAACGATTTCGGAAACATTAATTTCCGATTACGGGACAAACAAATTGCGGTTTTGTGTCGGAAAAGGTCGAATGCGGTTTTTGTTTCGGTCAAACGATGTCAAACCTTAGGCAACCTAGGTTAAATCTCGGTCAAACCTCACTCAAACCGCGGTTAACCTAGGTCAAACCTAGGTCAAACCGAGATCTAACCTAGGTTTGACCTAGGTTTGATCTAGGTTTGACCTAGGTTTTCCTAGGTTTGAGCTAGGTTTGACCCAGGTTTGACCGAGGTTAACCGCGGTTTTTGTTAGGTTATTTCTGGACAGTACTGTATCAACACGGCTCTTTGCCAGCATTTACAAATGCTATATTATAAATTATATTATAAAGTGCTATATTCATACCACAGGCATAACGTACTGAATTACATTCAGAGTGTCAGGCGTAGTGGTCTGTAGTTGATACCACTCCATTATATATAATAAAAGTTTAACACATTACTAACAAACGTAGTGAATTTTTAACGAATGCTAGCCGTGGAGTTATAGTGTATAAAACGAAATTACCACAGCCAAATTACCACAAGAAGTTGCACTCACATGCTATCTGACAAAGATAAGATCTGTGCTAGAATATGGAGCAGCAATTTGGGACGGTTTGGCAGAATAGTTGCGGTCGAAATTGAGAGTACGCAAAACAGATGTCTAAAAATACTTGGAATCCATAGGAATAATTTTAAATCATTACGAGAGAGAAGAATTCATATTGCTATGGAGGAACTGAAACGAACTCAAATTGATGCTACCCACCCCTGTCATAAGTTTATCCCTTTGCCAACATCTCATGTTCATGATCTGAGAAGAAACTCTAGTATTCCAAACCCAATATCACACACTAAAAGACATGAACAATCTATTATCCCAAGGGCAATTGATCTTTTAAATAAGTATGATCCAAATTAGATTTGATAATATGATTATTAGAACCAACTAGACGATAGATTATTCTACATACTGATAGCCGATCAATAAGTTAACCTTTTTTATAGTTGTGTACATATCTTACATTATTATTGTCTAGAAATTATTCCCTACAGTTGTAAATCCATAATTGTATTTTTTAGCTAAAGATGGATATTAATATTATTATTATTAAGCAATCTATTTCTCTAAAAGAATAATCAAGATCAAGATTCCAGTCCTTAAAAATGTGATAAATAGACCTTTGCTGACCCCAGTTATGCTTAGTTAATGATAATTCAACATCGTTGCGTCTTCTGGTGTCGTGGCTATGAATGTGTCTGTTTTTCTTAACATCCAGGTCAATGTCAAAATGACCGTGCACGTATTTTAATGCATTGTAAACCTATGATTCACGCGGGGTTTTTCTAACGGCCTCCAAGTCAGTTACACGGTCAGTTGGAAAAAACGAGGATATTAATTCTAATTTATTTACAACATAGGAAATGATGTGAAAATAATCCATAAGTTAGTCTAAGTCAGTTGTATTTGGGCCAATATCTGTTGCATGCATGTATCGAGACTAATAAAGTATATTCCAAACGTCATGCATGAAGTAAACATTTCGTGAAACGGGGGAACGTCTGACTCACTGAAAAGAAATCATGATGAAACAAAGAAATAATAATTGTAACATTTGTGCAGTGATAAACGTACATATGTTTCTTAAATGCTAATACATAATAGGATACTTACCAACACATCTCGCTCCATGAAAAAGGTAACCAATTTTGCACAAACATTCCACACCTGCATCTTCCAAATGGCTACAGTCGTGTTTATTCCACCCACCATTAAAGCAATCCCATATGTGTGATTCCTTACCATTGCATTCAACCTCATCAAGAAAAATGGGACCACTTCCTTTACCATAATAAGCTCGACTTCTTACTGCATTCGCTCCAGTAAAACCCAGCTGACGACAGACAACATTACCGTCGGTAGTATCCCATGAATCATCACAGACTGTACCCCAGCCCAAGTTTGGATTAAAGATCTCCACTCGTCCACTGATATTGTTACCTGAGCCACTCAGCCTTATCTGTAGATCAGCACTTGCTTTAAATAGAAATAAAACAACCATAGTTCCAGGGCCAAAGGCGCTCCGGGCGTCAGTCCGGGGAGAGGGTACTAATTCCACCTGGCTATTTACCCCCGCGGAAAGGGATGCAGTAGTGAAGTCTAAAGTTCATCAATGATCGCGCAGGCGCAAGGCTATGGTTCACCATTCATGGTGGGTCATCCTCACTGATCTCAATATATAGCAAATTATCGTGAATATATGCATTGACAATCATAGAGATTATAAATAACAGTAGCTACAGGGGGCATCCTAATGTTAGATGATACCAACTATAGACGAAATTTTGACCCAGCCAAGAAGAACGAAATCCGACACAACAGCTACAAAGAGCATCTTTGAGTGAGTACAATTGCAAAGTTTGGTTGCGAAATGTTGTAAAATGAAGAAAATATAGCCAGTTTTATACAGTCAAATTATTCTGTTCCATCTCTTGTGTAGGCAAGCGGCCAAAGTTACAGTTAGGAAATGCATCCGCACCACCTTCTAAGGGTGATGTTCAACCGTCTGGTTCGTACAATCATTTGGAAAGTACTCGTCCCAAACAGACGTATATTTCGTGGATTTTGGAAAGTTCTCGTGCCGAACAGACGTGTACAATTTTGGAGCTCCAGTTTTGTATTCAGAGGAGGTTGGACAGCAGGCCGTAAAGCACATGGGTATTGAGCGCCGAATTCCACGCGTGGCTTCATTGATGGTAGACTGTCGAGGAGTGAACATCTCTCTGACTAAACCAATATGGAAACTTTCAAACGACAAGAATGTCAGCCTGCGATACTTTGTGAAAAAAGCATGTTATTACTGTATTGTTGCAATCCTCTTTATGACTTGTGTTTTACTATACCAAGTTTACCTTTTTTTAATTGCATGGGACGTGCTGTCATTTTAGCTTGATAAATAATCCGTCCGAGCGAAGAAATTGTGTTTATATTCCCAATGGCGAGTCTCTTCATTCTAAGTTGTATAGCGTTAAATCTCCATGTATCATCAACATGAAAACAAGCGCAGTATTTAATGTTGGTATACCACAATGCATTACAGCTATCTTGTTATTTAGTCAAATTTCCGCTTTGTTGCTTTTATTCTTGTACTGTAATTTTATAAATAGACTGTATTATTTGCGTTTAATGATTCTAGTTTGACATCATTGTGTGTGCCTATGTACTGTGTCACTGTGATACATATGTTCATGTTTGGAGTTTAAAATTTTGCTGAAGTATAATGCCTGTAACGGAAGCCTTTGTTCTTTACCGCCTGCGCTCCTTCGCGCAGCGGCTCCGCTCGTGTTCCAAGATCCGCCATGTAAAGTGTAGTGAAATGTATCTCAATACTAATCGTAATCATGCAAAGTCAACAGAAGCCTACGCGGAAGAGAGAGCTTCATGGTTATAACAGGGGACCAGGACTTAGTTTTGTAAATAAACTAAATAAAAAATAATAATTCCATGTAACATCTATCTAAACTATCTCATCAATCTTAACAACAAAATGAACGATCGGCCACCATAGATACTCTTATATCACAGCTATCATAGGACCGACCGCATTCGCTCCCGATTCAACAAACATGGCGGTGATAATGGACGACAGAGGCACTGAAACATAGTTACATTTCTCGCTAAAGAAAAAGAATTGAGGCAAATGAATGTTCATTTCAATGTAGGCTCATATAAAGCTTTTATATGAGCGACACTTGTTCTGGGGGTGGAGTGTCCCTTTGACATCGAAAAATCAAATTTTGTTATTTTTCATCCTCATCAAAAGAAAATTGAAATAGATGTAAGTCTCAATATTAATGGCAGATATCCCATTTTATTGATTCCTACCTATCTTGGAAATATCAGGTGGATCATATTGCAAAAAAGATCAAAAGCGGAATTGGCATTCTTTCTAAACTTTGACATTTTGTAAATATTAAGATTTTAGTTAATCTGTATTATGCAATAATATACCCATTTTTTATCTATGCATTAACAATTTGGGTAACGCATATTCAACTGCACTTAAACCACTTAGTATATTTCAAAAGAAAGCCATGCGTGTTATCACCTTTTCTCGCTTTGTTGAACACTCAAGTCCTCTTTTTTAAGCGTCTCCAAATCTTAAAGTTTACCCATCTCATTACATTACGTATGACCATGTTTATGTACAAATATCGCCGACAACTTTTGCCTTCGAGTTTAAAATGATCTCTTTACTCCTGTATATCAAATACATTCATATCATACTAGACTTTCATCAAATCTTTGTTTTTCTTTGCCGAAAATAAGAACAAATTTTGGATTATTTAATATGAGATATCAGGGAGCTAGTGAAAGCATGGACTGTGCTGAGTGAAGCTGATAAACAGATGACATTTTTACAACTTAAAATAAAAATTAAAGCTGCTTTTATTAATCAGTATTAAGTTTTTAATTTGTTTTTATCCCTAAAAGTGATTGTCTCTTCTTTTCATTTCTCATTTTTCTTTATTCTTTAAAAAATCGTAATTATTGTAAGACCAATTTTACAATTATTGTTAAATTGTATTACTTGGCCCCCAGTCTTTTAGCTTTTTGGTTATTTTGGGGTGTCCGCTCCTTTATTTTAAATACATATAAGTAATATAAATAGATAAAAAAGGAATAATGTCAAACAAAAAAATGTATTTGTGTGTGATTATTATGGAGCAATAAATTGTCTTGTCTTGTCTATAAAACAGAGATGAACGTTGTTGCTATTAAGTTCAGAATAGAGTGCAGGATGATCATCAGGCTTAACTAGCCATCTAGCGTTCAGCACTAAACATTTAGGAATTTATTTGTTTGTTTATTGTTTGTTTAAATACTTTATTGGGTAAATATAATAATTATTTACAAAAGACGCACTAATACTATGCATGCAAAGAACAAATATTACCCAAATGGAAGAGGTGCGAACGGAACGTGAATAATTTGCGCTATCCATGCAAGGCACCTTTCCAACAGAATACATGTAAATATAGTTTACTATGTAAATACTAATAACAAGTTTATACAGCGAGACAATTAACTCCTATGACAAGGACAGGCACGTGACATAGACCAAGTACATAACAAGTTTACATCGAACACGGTCGATACTAACATAGAATAATGATTAAAGAGGTAGTATTTAAATGTTTTCACACTAGAGAATGTATTTGCTGGAGCTACTTTACAAATACTGTTCCATAATTTCACGATCCGGTTGAAATATGAGTTCTGATATGTTGTGGTTTTACACAATGGAGTCTTGAGCAACAGGTTGGGATTACGACATAGACGGGAGTGGTTATGGGTTACAAACGAGACATAGTCATGAACATTGAGATCAGAAATACCATAAAGAGCCTTGTAGAAGAACATTAGATCTTTTATCTCTCTTTCATAACACAAAGGTAGTAAGTTCAGATCAACGAGACGCTCATTGTAGCTAGAGTCACCCTTCCTAGCTTTCAATATCCATCTAGTGGCTCGCCTCTGCACACGCTCTATCTTTGTCTTCTGTGAGCAGATGTATGGGACCAAACTTCACAGGCATAACATAGATTGGATTTCACCAACGAAAGATACAAAGTACGTCGAACGGTGATGTCAGTCAGGAAAGGGCATGTTCTCTTCAATAGACCTAGCAGCTTGTTGGCTTTAGCTGTGATCTCATAGATATAAGAATCCCATGAAAGATTCCCAGTCATTGTAACCCCAAGATCTTTCTCTTTTTAAACATGAGAAAACTCGGTTGAGCCCAGTCGGTATGTGAAGTCCACAGGTTGTTTCTTTCGCGACACAGTCAACACTTTACATTTTAACTCGTTGAACCTCATATTGTTGGTATTGCTCCAGGTGGC